TTCTAAGAAACCAGGGCTGGACTCACAATTTCTATCCCAAGGAGAAACCAAAACATTTTGATGCAAATTAAATGGCTAACATGTTAAGAAAATCCTATGTTTTCTTGTAGTGACACTAGATAAGATAGTGTCCGAGTGTAAGGGCTGAGAAGGTTGTAGCTTAGCAATAAAGAATAAGAAAATAAATTCGTATCAAAGCCATAGATGAGGAGATAAAAAAAAAGGCACCTGATAATAGTCTCCATCAGACGATACGAGGAGAACAACACTATTGATAATTTTGTCGTATTAATTTGATCGAGCTCATGTTATAATCTTCGTTGTCAAACTCATTTCATTAACTTAAACATCCAGATTACAAAAGTAGATGAGAATCTTCAACAAGAGATTACCACACAGCACAAAAAAAAAAGAGATAGAATGACAGCAGTTCCATGATGAACCAACAGTGGAGAAAGTCTGGTGTCATGTTATCATCTAGTATATTATTTATACTAAATTCATGATCATCTCGGTGAATATCACCGATGAACGAATGTTTGGTGATATAGAGGCCCGAATCCACCCAACAGTCGTGGAGTTCGCAGTTCAATATTGATCGCAAGATGAGATGTAGTTGCTGGAATTTGCAAACTTACGTCAACGAACCATGTTTTCCGCTTTGCTCGAAGGGCATATTCCAGCTAAGTTGCCCATGCAGCATAATTTTCTACATTCAATTCTCTGATACCATGTAAACTCTAGAATATTATAGTTATACGACTTGTGTTACGAACTTGGGAGATTTTCACTTATATATAAACATCAATATATATCATCTATTGGAGAGATTCACATACATATCATAAAATGTCTTGATAACATTAACAAAAACAGAGGGATCGATCAAACCCAAAACATACAGACACGAGCACTAAGGTGAGATCTGACAAAAGTAAAAGAAAAGCTTTGCGCTTGATATTGTCTTAATACAAACAAGAATGGAAGTTATTTTCAGCACATTCTTCGATTTTTTCTGAAAAAACGAAAGCAGCTCAACATAACCCATTGAAACATTTCATGAAATACCTGGCAGGCAATACTTGGTAGCAATGCCTTTGTGTTTATATTCTGGTTTGAGGGGACGACTGAGGAAGAAATGTCTTGGTTAGAGTCGAAATGGGTTTCACCTGAAGGAGAAGAAGAGTCGTTACATATTAAGAGATCTTTGGATCTTCTTTAATTCTTTGGCAACTTCCACCATCGTTGGAACTTCTTCACTAGGACCGATGCATCTCAGTGAGAGCATTCGGAAAGCTTCCATTTGACAAAGCTCTTGTTCTGAAATGTGACCCATCTTTTCTATCATCTTTCGATCTGCAATCTCTTCCATTGGTCGGTCTTCCTTTAATTTTGACGGCAAATATCCATCATTATACTTCAAAAAGCTTTGGTTTCCTAATAGAAGCGTTAGACCCATAAACTTTCCAAAGGCAGAGACATCTGTTTTCTCTGAGACATCTGTTTTCTCTGAGACATCTGTTTTCTCTGAGACTACTCCGTCAAGACTATCGTACAAGTAACTACATAATATCTCTTCTCTGTCAACCTGGACAAATGTTTCTCCTTCTGGGATTGAGACGCAGTGAAAGAAATCAATTAGCTTGGCGGCCCCATCTTCATCCAATAAGATATTCATATGAGACAAACTCCGATATACGAAGGGCCTAGGGAAGGCAGTGTGAAGGTAAGCTAAAGCAGTAGCGATATCTTCAGCTATCTTCATTCTCCTTTTCCACGTCTGTTCACTTATTTTTAATCGATAGTGTTTCTTCACACCATCATAAACCGAGACTCGATTTTTCAACTCAAGACAACATCCAACCAATTTCAAAAAGTTTTTGTGACCACTCACCATCGATGAAACTGCTATGTCCCGGCACAAAAGATCTTCTCCCCACCAGCCAAGATCTGTCTTGATGAGTATCATGGGATAGTTCTCGTTCTTACCTGAATACCAGTCGAAGGGAATTGATGGAAAAACAAGATTAGAGTCGCTGAAATAGTTGGTGGCTTTGAGGATCTCATCAGCAGAGAAGAATTTGATGGGATTGGATATGCCATGGCCGAATTCGATCAGATCTTCTAACAACTTGGCTCCTCTCTCCAATATTAGCTTCTCCAATTTTCGCTTCTTATTCCTCTTCCTCCACCACCAACCCATCTCTAAACCTAAATTGTTTTTTCTATGAAACTTTATGTTGAACAATCTTTGATTAATTTTGAAATAGGATGAGAGTGGTGAGAAGAGATCCGTAAGAATGGTCGCAGGAGGAAGAAGAAGAGACATGATTTATGCTAGTTTGTTCATATTTCTTTAAAATATGATCGCTCCATGCCCTCACCCGATTGGATCATATCATAAAACCCTAAAAATAATGCCCCATCATTTCTTTTTAAATATTTTCATTGACTCTCGAAAGTTGAAGCTTTCAAAGAAAATTGAGAGTTTTCACAAGTTGTACAAAGTTTTTGAACCCGTTGGAATTCTTCCACAAGTTGTTGGGAGACATGATTCTTTGTTTAATTGAGTAATGCCGTGACGATAAATTCATTTAATCATAGCTCTAAAGAATCCAACAGTTTATAGAAAGTCAAAAATATATAGATAAAAATAATGTATTTGAAACAAGATTGTTCGACTAAATCATTGTGTCATTTTATATTTTCACTCATGATCAGTTTTGTTAACAATATCAAATCATACAAAATCTAAAAGATTTGTTTTTTCTTTCTCATTTCCGTTTCAAATGATTAGGTTCTTTCATTTGTTGGAGTAAAAGCAATCTTAAGAAACAGAAAACTGGTGAACAAGAGAATGGATAGATATAAACTACAGCAAAAGACTTTCGTCGTTTAAGGGCTGTACCTGTGCAGTGGCTTGACGCATCTTTGTCAAATCACTATTCTTTTCAATGACAGTTTGCTCCAAGATTTTCTCCGGGTCTTCGAAGGAGCTTATGAACGCATTTGCATATGACTTTGCTTATTGAAATGAAAAATAAACAAGAGAACTGATTAATGAACTCCAATGCATTATGACAGTCAGATACAGAATCAGAAAGGTTAAAAGTACCTTGACCACTCTAGAAAACCGTTCAAAAAGATTCATCGTAGCACCGTGACCATTGCACCTGAGTCTATTAGCACAAGCTAATCTCAGCACATTCACTCTCAGAGCCCCACCTTGTATAGAATAACAATAATCCTTATTGAATCTAACAATAAGTTCATGGAAATATCAAACCAACAACATATGTTACATAGCTAAAAAGCAAGAGAAGTAAATGTTAGACATGTGAAACAGTCAAAGCATACTAAAGTTATAGAAAATGACTAAGAATAAGACCATGTCCTGCATTTTAACACAAGGTCACCCCAGAGAGTATATGGAAGCATGAGAGACCCTATTTATCTCGTTCATAGTTACTAAATCAAGAAACACAAAATCTACAAATCACATACACAAATCACACCTCGGCTGGGATTAGATCATCTAATTGTTAAGATTTTCGGTTACTACATTTTCAAAGTTACGAAAATATGTTCTGTAAATCAATTTTTCTTTCTTTTTTACTCTAAATTTTTACGAAAACCGATTAAAACCTATGATCCACTGCGAATCAACCCGTGTGGCCCGTTTATTTACGGGTTTAATATATTTTCACAAATATGCCCCATATTGAGATGATTTGGGCTCGACCCACGGTTTTTGACCTATTTTTACTGCTCTAATTCCTATGAATCATCTAATTTTAGAATTTTAAAACATAAAATTCTATTTTTTAATCATAATTAATATGATCGGTTTAATTATAAACAATTTAACATTTTCTCTACAATTCGTTATTATGAATATTTATAAGTACACTATCTGATTCGCTCTACTTAAAACACGCACTATTAAAATCAACGTATGTAAACCAATATTCTCCCGCGGTGGACCGCGGGTCCGATCCTAGTACACATTTTAAAATGACAATCATAATAATTCACTAATATTCTTTGATTCTTAATATGCAAAATACAACTCCAAAAGAAGTTTTACATATTGTGTCCATGGGCTAAAATGCTTTCACTATTTGCGGAATCAAAACAATTTAGATATCAAGTGGTAACCATACGAAAAATATGTAAATAATACCCACACAAAAAGTATGGGTATTGTGTGATATTTTGTACTGGCTTTCAATATTTTTGTAACCAAAAAAAAAAAACACTATTTACTATTTAGACTTACAAATGGTAAGTGGTAACCATACAACAACTACGATAATAAGAAGAACAAGAACATCATCGTTGATTGGAATTTGATTTTCTCTCATCAAGAACTGCCATGGGTCATGCATGTTTAATGTTGGCTTTGACTTTTGTATTTAACTCACTTATCATGCCATGTTACTACTAAACCAGTCCAATTCAATTGTCATTTCAAAAATTGGACCAATCAACTTTATGTTGAACAATCTTTGATTAATTTTGAAATAGGATGAGAGTGGTGAGAAGAGATCCGTAAGAATGGTCGCAGGAGGAAGAAGAAGAGACATGATTTATGCTAGTTTGTTCATATTTCTTTAAAATATGATCGCTCCATGTCCTCACCCGATTGGATCATATCATAAAACCCTAAAAATAATGCCCCATCATTTCTTTTTAAATATTTTCATTGACTCTCGAAAGTTGAAGCTTTCAAAGAAAATTGAGAGTTTTCACAAGTTGTACAAAGTTTTTGAACCCGTTGGAATTCTTCCACAAGTTGTTGGGAGACATGATTCTTTGTTTAATTGAGTAATGCCGTGACGATAAATTCATTTAATCATAGCTCTAAAGAATCCAACAGTTTATAGAAAGTCAAAAATATATAGATAAAAATAAAGTATTTGAAACAAGATTGTTCGACTAAATCATTGTGTCATTTTATATTTTCACTCATGATCAGTTTTGTTAACAATATCAAATCATACAAAATCTAAAAGATTTGTTTTTTCTTTCTCATTTCCGTTTCAAATGATTAGGTTCTTTCATTTGTTGGAGTAAAAGCAATCTTAAGAAACAGAAAACTGGTGAACAAGAGAATGGATAGATATAAACTACAGCAAAAGACTTTCGTCGTTTAAGGGCTGTACCTGTGCAGTGGCTTGACGCATCTTTGTCAAATCACTATTCTTTTCAATGACAGTTTGCTCCAAGATTTTCTCCGGGTCTTCGAAGGAGCTTATGAACGCATTTGCATATGACTTTGCTTATTGAAATGAAAAATAAACAAGAGAACTGATTAATGAACTCCAATGCATTATGACAGTCAGATACAGAATCAGAAAGGTTAAAAGTACCTTGACCACTCTAGAAAACCGTTCAAAAAGATTCATCGTAGCACCGTGACCATTGCACCTGAGTCTATTAGCACAAGCTAATCTCAGCACATTCACTCTCAGAGCCCCACCTTGTATAGAATAACAATAATCCTTATTGAATCTAACAATAAGTTCATGGAAATATCAAACCAACAACATATGTTACATAGCTAAAAAGCAAGAGAAGTAAATGTTAGACATGTGAAACAGTCAAAGCATACTAAAGTTATAGAAAATGACTAAGAATAAGACCATGTCCTGCATTTTAACACAAGGTCACCCCAGAGAGTATATGGAAGCATGAGAGACCCTATTTATCTCGTTCATAGTTACTAAATCAAGAAACACAAAATCTACAAATCACATACACAAATCACACCTCGGCTGGGATTAGATCATCTAATTGTTAAGATTTTCGGTTACTACATTTTCAAAGTTACGAAAATATGTTCTGTAAATCAATTTTTCTTTCTTTTTTACTCTAAATTTTTACGAAAACCGATTAAAACCTATGATCCACTGCGAATCAACCCGTGTGGCCCGTTTATTTACGGGTTTAATATATTTTCACAAATATGCCCCATATTGAGATGATTTGGGCTCGACCCACGGTTTTTGACCTATTTTTACTGCTCTAATTCCTATGAATCATCTAATTTTAGAATTTTAAAACATAAAATTCTATTTTTTAATCATAATTAATATGATCGGTTTAATTATAAACAATTTAACATTTTCTACAAATCACATACACAAAAAAGCTCCTTCACAGATCAATACCCAGTTTTTCAGGTAAAAATCTAGATAGCTGCAATCAAACCCAACTTTACTTCAATTCACTCGCAGACCAATTACGTTCACAGAAAATTCTAGATAGCTGCACCATTTTCTTCCGAGCAATTCAAACAATGAGAAAGCAAAACCCTAAGCGAATTAGAGAAGACGGAGACGCACTGGAGTTACCGAAGAAGGATGGTCTGAGGGGGAGAACCCTGAGGGAATAAGGGCGATTAGAAGTCGAAGGGGAAGAAGAAGCAGTAGGACGGAGAGGAGGGAATAATCCGGCAGCTGGTGAAGCTTTGAGAGCCATTTCAATGGCAATTTCGTAGGCCTGGGCACAAGTACTCGTTATTCGGTTGATACTCGCTACTCGGCTCGTACTCGTCTTGAAAAAACAAGTACCCGGTGTTGTCAAGGCAAGTACCAAGTAGTATAATTCCATTACTTGCAAGTAAGGGTCAAGTATCAAGTATCATAATTTTTTTTGATATTTGGCTCGTTACTCGCCCCGTTTCGATACTCGCCCCGTTACTCGCTCCGTTACTCGCTCCGTTACTCGCTCCGTTACTCGCTCCGCTACTCGTCCCGTTTTGTATTACAAGATACTTCATGATTTTCAATTTTTGTTTTAAAGCGTAATACACTAATAGTAACATTTGTTATGTTGGTTTTATTTATATGGAAAAAAAAAAGAGAATCAAGAAGACAAGAACTCAAGAAGGAAGATAGAGACAAGATTTCAATTTGAACCAAGTTGTTTTAAAATGCTTATCTTTTGGAACTTTCAATGTGTTGTGATTCTAAGATGTTTTGCGATTTTACGATGTTTAAAATTCTGAATGTTTTATAATACGTATGAGATTGGTTTTAAATCATGCTTTGAGTGAAAAATTATTGTGGGAAGAAGCTCAGTTGGATCCGATCGAAACTAGTTCTATTACGGAAACTTTGGATCGATTGTCAGGTGTTTGAAACAGACTGCTCGGAGTTAGTCTCGATGATACAGTCACCGGATGAATGGCCTGCTTTCTCCAATCTGCTAGACGAATTTGGTTTTCTCCGTGTCTCTTTCCCGTTCTTCTCGCTTTCTCTTATTTCTCGTTTATGTAATGTTCAAGCGGACTGCTTAGCCCGTTCTTCTAGACTTTTATTTTCTGAAGTTACTTTTGTAAACTCTTCTCCTCCTAATTAGGCAACCAATCAAGGAGTTATTTATTAATTAATGTGTGGTTGACAAAAAAAAAAAAAAAAAAGAATTTATGAATAAAAATGTAAAAAAAGGATTATAATTGAAAACACTTTTAAAATATTTTATATGACTGTAAAATTATTTATAAGTGACAAAATACACAACAAAGAGTTATAATATAGAGATGAAAAATTCTAATGGGTCAAAACCTATTAATTTGGATAAAAGTGGTACTCAAAATGACTTGTAGGTTACTAAGAACTTCGTCCGAGAATTGATTTTTTTAATTGTCCATTGTTCTTTAAATATAAAATTAATATTTATTCTATTATATATAATCGAGAAAATATAAAATTTGATGAGGTAAATTACATCTATAACAAAAAATAAACATTTAAAAGATGTCATAAATTTATATTTATTTTGATAAATTAACTGAGTGAAAAAACTTCTTCCTTGAATATTCACGTGACGAATTGGAATCATTGCTTTTTTTCCTAATAATGTAGATGATTTCTGGAATACTAAACCATTAGAAACAGTTCATTTGACGCTTACCACATTTAAAACACCTAATCACAAGCGTCACATGTGGATGTCTTCTCATATTCAGACTTTGTAATAGTGTTAACGCAACATCATATTTCCTTGTCTACAACCCATATATATTGCCTTAAGATAGAAAGCATCATTGTTAATATATAAAATAGTTAAATAAAATTTTTTTACTATATAATCCATCCAATTCTAAGAGAAAAATTGTTGGTATCTTCATTACAATTTTATATGTAAAGTTGATTAAAACTTCTCATTTTTATAATCATTCCAAAAAACTTTGGTTAGAACAACAATGAGAAGAATTTATTTAATATTAAAATGATGTATGTTTAGAAATTGTTTAGAGAATAAATAATTTGGAGCCATTTTACATATTATTTTTTTGGATTCATCATGAAACAAATAATCTATGTCCAAGAACAAAAATTTGGGAACTACTTAGGAAGAAGGACAAATATATATAGTTCAGAAGTCATAAACATTTAAATAGACAACTATTCATACAAAAAGTTGTAACGAAAAAATGCAATGAAATCTAGTGAAGAAATGAATGTAAATGAATAGATCGATGCAACTATAGAGACACAACCATAAATTGAAAAATACGACTATAATTGAACAAATAGAACTGTGCCAAAGAAATAACCGTTAATATTTTAACGAAAAGATGCGACAAAAAGACACAACTTAGAAAAATAAACGTCAATGTTTTAACAGAAAGTTGCGATAAAAAGAAACAAACAAAAAAATTAACTGTCAATATTTTAAAGAAAAATTGCGATAAAAAGGCACAACCGAAAAAATAACCATCAACAAAAAAAGAAACGTTAATATTTTAACGAAGATTTTTGATACAAAGACACAGCCGAGAAAAAATAACCGTCAATATTTTAACGGAAAGTTACAATTAAAAGACACAATCGAAAAAATCCGTCAACAAAAAAAGTAACCGTCAATATTTTAACGAAGATTTTTGATAAAAAGATACAACCGAGAATAAATAACCGTCAATATTTTAACGAAGAGTTGCGATAAAGGGACACAACCGAGAAAAAATAACCGTCAATATTTTAACGGAATGTTGCGATAAAAAGACACAACCGAGAAAAAATAATCGTTAATATTTTAGCGGAATATTGCGATAAAAAGACACAAAAGAAAAAAGTAACTGCCAATATTTTATTGGAAAGTTATGATAAAAATACACAACTGAAAAATAACCGTCAAAAAAAAATAACCGTCAATATTTTAATGAAGAGTTGCGAAAAAAAAAACAACAAAAAAAGACGATAAAAAGATGCAACCGTTCAGATGTGCAAAAAGCATTTATTGAGATTGCTATTATATATAGATTAAATCATCTCAACCATTTTTTTTTACAAGTCATTTTTACGGGAAAAAGAAATGCGTAAAATGCGTAAGATCATTCCAAATACATATGCTATTGGCAGTCTCATTGATAGTAGGATTTTAGCTAAGATCAATTATCCTTAAATCATTATCATGTCATTGTAGTATTTAAGGTGTCAATCCAAATGGGTGTGATGCTAGCAATCAAGATGCAATCAGATATCACAGAGTCAAGCCAAGCAATAACAGGTTTTGGCGTTGTTAACAGCTCTAGCGATCATGCAGATAACATAAATTCTAATTATAACAGGCAATATACTCGATCACACAGCTTGATGCCAAGCACTGGATGTGGTCGAGTATCAGGTCGAGTAATTTAACAGAAACTGTAAACAGGGTACTCGACTGCACAGTTTGTTACCAAACTACTGGGTGTGGTCGAGTACTTCAAATGAAACAGGGTAGAAAGGATAAAACTGAGCAACAAGTAACCAGATCAAGCAATTAATAGCGATGTAAACAAAGAAATCAAATGGAAGAGAAATTCCCGAGGATGGGGTAATCGAGTAGTGAAGTCTCCTTAATCTAACAGGTGGTTAACATGCTCAACAAACTATCCCTAGACAACAAGTTCAATAGCCAAATCAAAGTGCTACCGCAACAGAGATCCTCAAGCAAAGCTAGTCCCAGACTCAATCACCATTGACGAGAGCTAACCTAACAGGCATTACGAAACAACAAGTCTAAGCCAAAACGCTCCCTGTAACCAATACCTTGGTACAGAGCCACGAATCTCTGGAATTAGTGGTTCAGACATTTCATCGAACACCTTTTGGGTGCGGAAATGTCTGGGCTCAGATTCCAGTTGATCAGAAAGCAATCAGCATTAAGAACAACTAATCCAGAAGGGATCTACCAATCAAACTCAACCACCTAGCAGATCAAGGATTCTAAACTACTCTAACCCATCCTCAAGAACCCTAATCACTACTCAAAACTCATGAACATGAACATAAACCCAGAAATGCATAAAAACTTCATACTAGCAAGATCTCAACAAGATGAACAACTTTGTAGAAGAAATCAAAAGCAAATACTCAATAGATTAAGAGAAATCTGGATTACAAAGATGAAGAAACACTAATTGTTCTGCAGAAAAATAACTTAGTCTGAAAATTATGAGAAACCACTTATTTATAGCAAATACTAGGAAACCCTAAATCACAAGACGACAAAGTATTAGGGCGGTTTACGGAGATACTCGACCCTTGTGATCGAGTAGAGAGGTTGAATAAAGTTGGCGCCTTGCGATTTTCTTGCTCTGGGCATGTTGTGATCGAGCATTTGGGTCGAGTATGTGCTCGCGTTCTGCTTCATCCTCTTCTCTTCCTTATGCTCAATGTCTGGTTGAGTGGGAATCTGAGAAGACTCTGAAGCTTGTGATCAAGAGGCTGCTTGGAGGTGGTGATCGAGCATCTGCTCGAGTGATCTGAGGGAGGCTTGCTGGGGAATGCTCGACTGACACGATCGAGTATGTCAACAGAGGATGCGATCAAGTGTTGTGGCAGGTTGTGGTCGAGCATCTGCTTCAGTGGCCAGGATGATGGTACTCGACCTCGTGATCGAGTATGTGGTCGAGTGATGGCGTTGAAGTGGTGATCGAGTCATTTGGTGAAGAGCATGGTCGAGCGCTTGAGAAGCGGTGGAGCTGATCTACTCGATCACCGTGGTCGAGTGGTTCCTTGTTTTGTCCCTGATCATGCTCGACTGAGTAGGTCGAGTGTGCTGTCTGATTTAGCTCTGCTTCTCTCAATCTGCTCACAAGTGGCTCCGAAGCACCTGAAAACAACTCAAATATGCAGTATGCATGCAAAACTATCCTAAACATGTAAAGTGATGACAAATGATGAAGAATGGTATGAAACAATGATGAAACGATGCTAAAGTGATGCTAAATGGTTGCTTAAAACAGGTAAAATATAGACATATCAACTCCCCCAAACTTAGTCTTTGCTTGCCCTCAAGCAAACAATCAAGAACAAGCTGGAGGAGAGGTTTGAAGGTGGGGGCTCAGAACCAAGTTAAGCATCAGATGAAAGATTCAACTTAAAGTCCTTGAGAATAATTCAAAGCTGCAAGGATCAAACAATATACTCTTTCGTACTTCTCCATACTTATGTTAATGCATGATCCTAGTTCAACTTCTAGCTATTAGCAAAAACTCACAATCAAGCTGAAACAACTCTTTAGCATTCATTAGTGTTTGGTGCAGTCTCGCAGATGGTAAATGAATCAAACTCAATCGGCTTAGGGACAAAGGCTTTTGAGGGAGGTTTCAAGTGTTTTATTTTTTTGGTGGCTTTCTCTCAGAAACAAGGAATGCAAGACAGTCATGAAATTTATCTAAGACCAAGAACAGTTTACGCTACAAAGTTCAACTCTTGCTGCTCTACCCATCTTAGATGTAATCTCTAGTATCCACCCTTAACTCAATCTTATCATTCTCTCTTTTCCCAGAAACCACTTAGACCATTTGGTCTCTCTTTAAAACACAACCCATAAGATCATCTTTCTTTTACTAGACACCTAGGGAATCCTTTTAAACACTTAGCTCTTTCTTTAAACTTTTCTTAGACTTTTCTTTGTTCCCAATACTTGTATAACTTTGAGACTTTTCTTTTCTGTTTGGGGAACTAACTTATTCACTTCTCTTATTTTAGAGGCTTAGAGCTTTTACTTATGACTTTCATTCCCTAGGGACTCTTTTAAAACACTTAGTGATCAACCTTTCTTTTTCATTCCCTTTTCTTTCTCTCAAACCCACTGACCAACCCCATATATTGTTCTAACCACTTATGCCTTTTCATTCCCAACCTATTAGCTATCCTTAATGAAGTTCAGGAGTCTAGCCTAAAGCAAGAGTTAAAGCCTTGTTGTTCTCGATACTCTCAAAGTTTCACAACCTATTGCATTATCAAACAAAAAGGCCTCACACACAATCAAATCATAGGCTTCAAAGAAAAGGTTAAGGTTAAGGGTAGGGGAGCCATTCT